TAGTTACCTCATCAACATTCCCTTGTAGCCTGGCTGAATTCTCTCGGCATATTTTGTAGTGCATTATACTTTATCGCTAAAATTGACCTATTAAGCATAAAATATGGAGAATGCATGGAGCTTCTGTCAGTTTTATGTTGTTTATTTGGACTTCCGTTTTCTCTTTCCTAAGACCTTACTTCTTGTTGTCTTTTTCATTCCTAAACTAAGTAATAAGCCCAGAGAGTCATGCTGGTGGTATCCATGGTATCCACTCTAGTGCATTAAGATTATAGCATTAAAAAGCAAAATCTCAGCTTCACCTCAACTCTAGACACAAAATTATGAACTCTTCATAGACAGGACCCAAATATTAATTAATTAACCCTGTGTCCTTAGTGCTTAACCCTGGCAAATAAAAGGTCTTTAGTAGATGTTTATTGTTTGAATGAGCAATTAGTTTCAAATATTTCTTGAGAATCAGCCTTTTAATATGTACTATTCCTAACAAAATTTGCTTAGATTTTGTACCCAGGGTGCAAAACTTAGAACTTTTCATTTTCTTTCTGGACACTAGACAAGGACAGAGAATAATCACTGTGTTGTTGCTAGTGCTACATTTTACTGAGCCCAAGAAACTTCTACACATGTGACTGCAGTAGCAGCAGCTGCTTCCCATCTGGCATTATGAAAAGGTATACACTGGGGACTTCTAGGTGCTGGGTGCTGTGCTATCCAAATCGATCCAGATCAAAAAACGGGGTCATTGTCACCATCTGCCAAGGCAGTTGTATTCACAACAGTGAGTCTCTCTTCACCCCCTCCCACCAATTATATGCACATTCAACTGAAGAGTTGAAGCAAACTGTCAGCAAAACAACTGAAAGTTTATTTGTTTATTCCAGCCAGGCATCCCTCCAACCGCAGGCTTCTCAAAGCATATTCTTCTAAGACTTTGTTAAAGTGCACATTTAGATCTACTAGGTCTGGGGTGCAGCCTGAGAGTGCATTTCTAACAAAATCCTTTAGTTAGGTCAGGCCTTGATACTTAAAGTGTCATCCATGGACCAATAGATTTGGCATCACCTGGGAGCTTGTTAGAAATGTGGACTTTTAGCTGCCATCCAGACCAGTTGAATCAGAACCTTCATTTTAACAGGAGTCTCACATTAACATGTGACAAACATTGCTCTAACCATTTAGTTAGCTGACAGAATCAGTCACAGATAGGGACCCAGTTGGGATAGGGGATGGAAAGTAAGGCCAGGAGTGCTCGCTGTTCCCTTTTTCATTTCAAACTCTACGCCTGACACTTAGCACAAGATACAAATGATGCCTCTTTGTTCAGTCATTTGGTGGCATGATGAATCTATTCTTACCCATCCTGATTGCTGTTGTCTTTAAGCATGGGGGCCCACCTGACCAACCATTTCCCTAAGAACTTCCTTGTAGAGGAAAAGGTTTCCCCAGAAGAGACAACCTCATGACCAGCCACATCAGAATGATTCACAGGTTCAATCCAGCACTAGGAGATCAGAGCTTCTATGTGCTCATCTATAGAATGGGGATGATGATACTGTCCATTCTGGTTTCCCTTATAGCCTTATTTGTGAGGAAATTGAAAACAGGAGCAGGAACTTTGAAAACATAAGGTTCATGAGGTGAAAACTGCTTTAGTGAGAAACCTTCATGTGTGTTTCAGTGACAGGGATATGGGTTCAAAATTTAGCCTTACCATCTCATAACCTTGTGATTTCTAGCAATTATTCCATCTAGTTGAACCTCAATTTAAAAAAAAAAAATGGTCATAACTTCAACCATATAATGTGTGGGGAGGATCAGGAATGTTAGTGATATATGTGGAATTTAATAAATGGTGGCCAAGAGCTACAGTTAAGAGACTTAGCTGGGAAATAAGCCTTCAAAGATGTCTTTTCCCCCAAGGAAGCCTGTTAAATGGAGACAAAATGAGAAGGTCATTTTAAAGCTGGTTAAGTTTTGGGTAAATACCCATCCAGTTCAAGAGACTGATATCTTGAAGTTTGTTTTTTAAGTATGTCTAGAAGAAAAAAATCTCTAAATTTCAAACAAGATTTAACATTAAAAAAATATATATTTCTGAGTACCAGCCACTGAAAGATTTTGAGGATTTGCCATGATTATTCTGTCCCATTCACATGCTCCTATCTGAGGTGACAAATAGACTTTGTGGTGTGCACGAGAACCTGGCACATGTAATGGTGTCCACACAAGTGGACACTCCAGGCAGAATCATATAAAGCCATGAAAGAAGATGCTCTGAGGGCCGTGGGAATGGATGGTACCCTCATTATCAGAATAAGAGAACAGCCAGTCCTCTTTACTGGAGACGTTGGAAAGGCAGCTGCTGGGTTGTGACTGCTTCACTCTCAGCAATTAAGCATTGGAGACATAGAGGGACTATTGTCTTTTTTTTTTTTTTTAAATCCTCACCATTCTCTCTCTATCTTCCCAACCTCTAGCTCACCCTTTTATTTTGGAAATGCCCTTTTAAGACCCTCCATTTTTCTCAGGCCTGTTTTCAAGCAGGCTAAGCTTCTGGGAAGTTATTCTTTTGGGCTGAGATTGCCCCTTCCTTTCCCTAGAGTCCACAGCACTTTCCCTGGAGTGTGATTTTACAGACTGCCTCAGGCAGTGAGCCTTGTGACCTGCTTTTCCACATGGATCTCTTTGTTGGGGGAGGCACTGAATGCTCAATGACTTTGAGAAGGAGAGAAAAGAACCACCTCCCAGATAGGGTATTTCAGTGAAAACCTTCTTAGCAAGATGGCAGGGTGGGGAGAGAGGAAGTGAGCAGGCAGAGAGAGCTGCAGGGAGCCACTCAGCAGTCTGGCCAGCAGTTCTGAGCAAAGAGCAGCATCTGTAGGAGGGAATGGAGATTTCTCAGGAATATTTTTTTGCCTTAATAACTTAAGATCAAATGCATCACCAAGCCACGTTTGATTATGGGACAACAGAATCCATTCCAGGTGGGAATAAAGCAGTTCAGTGGGACTGTGCTTCAAGTCCTTTTAAATAGATTCCATGATGGGCTCTTCTGAATCTGTTAAGAGTATGACCTGTGGGTGGGAGCTCTCACCTCCAGCACTTTAAACTAGTAGTCTTTGGGGGGAATGTGTGAATAAAAGGTAAAAAGAGATAAAGCTCTGGCTAAAGGGAGATTCATGAACCAGCAGGTTGAAGGCAGGTTGAAAGATATCACTTTACATGGAAAAATGAGAATTCATACCCCATTTGAATCAAATGTATGATATGTCAAGATCATTGTATTGTCATGAGCAACTAATAAAAAAAAAGATAGATATCACTTTTTATAAAATCAGATCACATGGAAAGAGCATTTCCTAGGGGTCAATGAAAGAATTTCAATCCCAACTCTGTCCTCTACTAGTTGTAGAACCTCGTTAGGCAAGTAATTTTATTTCTTAGAGATCCAGGAAGAAGAATACCTGCTCTAAATTTATTGTAGCTGCTATAAATCGATAAACTTCACTTAATTTTTTGAGGGTCAAATGAGACAATTGGAGAAGAGAACCTTGAATACTTAAAAGTTGTTCCATCCAATATGGTAGCCAGTAGCCACATGTGCCTGTTTACATTTAAACTAATTAAGATGCAGTAAAAAGTAACACAGCCACAATCCAATTACTCATTAGACACATGTGACTATTGGCTATACCGTATTGCACAAATATATATATATATATATGTGTGTGTGTGTAACATTTGCACACTATCATTGAAAGTTCTATTGGACAACTCTGTGGCAAAGTGCTAGCAAGGCTATGATATTAAGAATATAAAAAAGTGGCATATTGTAGGGGTGACATCCTGTCATAATTAAGAATTGTTGGAGAAAAACAAAATTCACTCAAGTTAGCTGAATTAAAATAAGGGATTTATTTGACTAATGTAGGAAAAACAAATGGATCCCAAAGGCAGGAAGCACAGCTAAGCTTCAAGAGGATTTAGAACCACTTCCTAGATTATTTGAGACTAAAGAAACCACTTTTCCTTTCTCATTGTCTGTCTCCTTTTTCTCTTCTCCCTAAGTCCTTTTGATCTTTCATCTGTTTCTCTGAGTGTTAATAACTATTTCTCTCACCACCTCCTCCCCCTCTTCCTTCCTTCTCTTCTCTGTTTTCTTCCTCTTTGGTTTCACAGTTCATCTTTCTCAACTTCACTACACATGGTCCAAATAGGGCTCAACCAGACCCAGTTTTCATTACCTTTCATGAATCATATCCAACACAAGTTGGAATTTGGAATTTGTAATTTGATTCCAAATTCCCTGGAGAGAAATTCTGATTAGCCAGCTAGGTGAGATACCCACTCCTGCTCTGATCATCTCTTCCTGGAAAAGGAGGAGTAATGATATACTTACTCAGGAGGGGCAATGGAGGAAGCTCTGAAAAGGAGACTATAAAGGTCATTGGCCCACACACTTGCCCTTGCTACCTTAGAGAGGCCCATTGAGCTGTGATCACCCAGAGAAGAGCCAGTAGAGATTTGACAAAGGTGGAGAAGGAAGAAAGTGATGCCTTTTCTTCTATAGTCATTTGTATGGTTCACTGCACCAGTGCAGATTTACAGGTTTAACTTCCTGTCTATATACCTAAATAGAAGCCCCACAGCCAGGAAATGGAGCCTAAGCCTCTGTTCATTCATCGGTTCTTCCTTCCTTCCCTCCTTCTCTCCCCCTTCCTTCCTCCTTTCTTTCTTTCTCTCTTTCCAGGGATTGAACCCAGGGATGCTTAATCAATGAGCCACATACCCAGCCCTTTTTATTTTTAATTTTGAGACAGGGTCTCACTTAGTTGCTTAGGGCCTTGCTAAGTTGCTGAGGCTGGCTTTGAACTCGTGATCCTCCTGCCTCAGCCTCCTGAGTCACTGGAATTACGGATGTGTACCAACATGCCCTGCTCTGTCATTTCTTAAATGCAAACAGACCACTCACAAATTCCCTTCTCTTCTGCCTTTAGGAAGGAACATGAAGTTCCCTTGGATATCACTGAAGAAGAAGATGGGAGGGGCCATTTAAGAGAGATTATAAGTTGGAGGCTGCAAGGCTGGGGCCAGAAGGCTGGCAGTGGAAAACGCTGTTGAGCTGTGATCTCTCACTGAAAAGTTCCAAGTGCCTTTTTGCTTCCTGTAAAAGAAAGGAAGAGAAGGAGGAAACCATGTCTATAGCCCTGAAGCAGGTGTTCAACAAGGACAAGACCTTTCGGCCCAAGAGAAAATTTGAACCCGGCACGCAGAGGTTTGAGCTGCACAAGCGGGCTCAGGCGTCCCTCAACTCAGGCGTGGACCTGAAGGCAGCCGTGCAGCTGCCTAGTGGAGAAGACCAGAATGACTGGGTGGCGGTGCATGTGGTGGACTTCTTCAATCGTATCAACCTCATCTATGGCACCATCTGTGAATTCTGTACCGAGCAGACCTGCCCTGTGATGTCAGGGGGCCCCAAATATGAGTATCGGTGGCAGGATGACCTTAAGTATAAGAAACCAACTGCATTGCCAGCTCCCCAGTACATGAACCTTCTTATGGATTGGATCGAGGTCCAGATCAATAATGAGGATATATTTCCAACATGTGTGGGTAAGTCCACGACCAGCTTCTCAGGCTTTATTTGTTTATTTTTTTGATATTATCCCCACACAAGCTCAAAAAGTGTGCAGAAGGGGATTCTCCCTAGCTGCCTGTGATGCTGGACAATACCCATGGCAGTATTTCCCCCAATTCTATTTTTATCTTTTCTTTTTTTCTGATTGGAGATTGAACCCAGGGGCACTGAGTCATATCCCCAGCCCTTTTTAGCTTTGGTTTTGAGATAGGGTCTCACTAAGTTGCATAGGGCCTCACTAAATTGCTGAAGATGGCCTTGAACTTGTGATCCTTCTGCCTCAGCCTCTCAAGTCACTGGGATTACGGCACTCACCATGATGCCCAGCTTCTCAAATTCTATCAGTCATATACCTGTAATTTTTTTTTCTCCATACCTAAGAACCTTATTGAAATTTTAAAAAATCATTTATGAAGCACTGACGATTATTTTGTGGCCCCCAGAACATTGATCCAATGTTAGATTTGATCTTGTTGGCTTTCTTAGGACTAGACTCCACACTTACCCAGTTATTTTGGTAAGATTTTTGTTTCTTAATTGATTGACTACTTAAGGTTAAATTGACTCTGGTGCATTACTGGCAATATTTATCTTTTAGGATTAATAAGCTCCAGTGTGGGAATCCATGAATTTGTTTGGGGAGCAAACAAATAGGGGTTCACATTTTGGGGAAATGAAGATCCTGGCATTCTGCTCCTTCTCCTATCATAACTTATTAATTCCAAGCTGCACTGTTAACTCCAACCCTTGCATAGCTGCTGGACCTGCCAGAACTCTTGAAATGCAAATGCTTTGGTTTGTTTTGTACTATAAGCCATGAAACTTAAGAGGAAGGACCAAACCTTCTCTGTCTCTTGTATTTCTTTCTGCTGTGGAACATTGGTGGGCTAAATTTAAAATTCATTGTTTTATTCCTGGGGCTCAACAGGAATGAACAATACTCTACTTCCATTATCATATCTGCAGTGCCTAGTACAGTGTCCTGAAGCCTGTGGGGGCTCTCAGGAAATATTTCTGGAATGATTGAATAAATATTGTGCTATTAGAAAGCCTTCTTGAAAAGCTCTGAGATGACTGAGGCATTTTTTTAAAAAGTATTTGAAGCATACTGTTGAAATCACTTTTAGATGGGGGGTGTCCCCATGAGGCATGTGGAAAGTTGAGAAGGGCCACATGGAAGTAATTAAGTTTATACCAAAAAAAAAAAATGTATATAAATTGATTGGTGTCGTATGGTACATCTTGAAATATTCAGCACACAAACCAATTTGTCAGAATCCTGTTGCTGTGGCTTTTCCAATTCCCTCTTTATCTCTTGTCTCTCGTAAGCAGGAAGGAGGTGGACTGTATGGTAGTGTGCATAGAGGCACAGAAGGTAGGTTAAAAAAATAAAAAAATAACTCCTCTGGGCACCTGGGAGGGATGGGAATTCCTCAGGCTCTTGTCTTTTTGCACTTTCATTGACTGCCAGAGGCTACTTACAGTGCTGGGAGGAATTTTCCTCTTCCAGAAAACTTAGAAACAATGGGCAAAGCTCTGAGCAGAACATATGATAAAAATAAAGATAGATAAATGTGCACAAAGATACCTCCTCTTTGGTCCTTCCCCTGTGCCTGCTCCTGGATACTTTGAACTCTGGGCACTCCTTCTCCCTGGCAGCTGTGGTTACCAGATAGCATTGCTGAACAGGAATTGCAATGAAGAGCCATGTGTGTTACTTGAGAGCAAAGCAGCTTCTGGCTGTCTGCTTGGAAAACAGGGCATCATAGGAGGTTTTAGACTTCGGAGGAAATGGGTGGATGCCTCCATGTCCCCCAGAGTCACTGACTTTGCTTTCTTTTTCTAGACATTTCCTTATTCAGTATGCTCAGGGAACAAGTTGACTCCTCTGTTTCAGTTCTGTCCAGTCCGTGGTCCATAGCACACTGGTATTCTGAGAGCTTTTACTATGATTCGCCCACCCCACCCCCATGGAAAAATACATCTGGGAAATACTGAGTGAAATTGATTTCTTTACCACAGGACTTTTAATATGCCACTGTGCATTATAAATTTCCAAGAAGAGAATACTTTAGAATGTGGTATTTCCTAATTTGACCCAGTATCTTTATTTTAAAAAACAGAAGAAAGATTGTCATCACCTTTTCGGAAACATTAAGCTATATAAGTTAGAGTCATCAAATTTTTATTATGTCAGAATTACTTGGGCCTTCTGTTCAAAATACAAATTCTTGATCCTTCCCTTTAACAACTGAATCAGAATCTCTTACGTGAGACCTAAAAACCTGTATTTAAAAAAACAAAACAGAGATTTGATAAATTGTGTATAAAGGTGTATTAAGAATTGCAATGCAAAAAAATTAGGAATGTAATGCACTCTATTGTGATGTAAGTAAGAAATAATAAAAAATAAATAAATTAATTTAAAAAAAGGAAAAAAGAAAAAACAAAACACAGCAAAAAACACTTGGATTATGCAGAGGGGAGGGAGGGAAGGGATGGGGTAGTGGGGATGGGAAGGTCAGTAGAATGAGACAGACATTATTATGCCATATGCATGTATGATCATATTAGTGGTGTGACTCAGCACCTTGTACAGCCAGAGGAATGAGAAGTTGTGCTCCATTTGTATACAATGTGTCAAAATGCATTTATTGTCATGTGTAATTAATTAGAACAACAACAACAAAAGACTATAGTCACTGTGTTGTACAAGTGATCTCAAGAACTTAATCCTTTTAGCTAACTGAAATTTTGTGTCCCTTGACAAACATCTCCCCAGCTACCCCTTCCCCAACTCCTGGTAGCACCCATTCTACTCTACTCTTACAAATTAAACTTTTTTGGATTTCATATATAAATAAGATCATATGTTATTTGTCTTTCTGAGCCTGACTTTTTTTTTTACTTAACATAATCTCTAGGTTCATCCATAAATGACAGGATTTTCTTCCTTTCAAAGACTGAATTGTATTCCATTGTGTATATATGCTACATTTTTTTTTATCCATTCATCTACTGGATATATACAACTTTATGCATACACCACGGTTTTCATTATCCACTCATATACCTGTTGGCCATTTGCAAGTCTTGTTTTGAGAAGAGTCTATTCAGACAAATCCTTTGTGTATTTTTATTTATTATTGTTATTTATTTATTTATTTATTTGGTACTGGGGATTGAATCCAGGGTACTTAACCACTGAGCCACATCCCCAGCCCTTTTTTTAAAAATTTGAGACAGGGTCTCTGCTAAGTTGTTTAGGGACTTGCTAAGTTGCTGGGGTTGGTTTTGGACTTGTGATCCTCATCCTGTGCCCTTCTTAGTTGCTGGGACTACCGGCTCCTTTGGGTAGTTTTAATTGAGTTCTTTCTTTTTCTTTTTTTTGGTGGTGCTGGGGATTGAACCCAGGGCCTTGTGCATGAAAGGCAAGCACTCTACCAACTGAGCTATATCCCCAGCCCTTTAATTGGGTTATTTCTGATGACCTGTTTGAGTTCCTTATGAACCTTCAGTTTTCATAAACACACACCACTCTTCCATTAATTGTAACCACCCAGAATTCTTGTTCTTCCCTCGGAAGCATTCAGTTTCCTATTCTGGTTTTTGCCCCATGCTCTCTCTATAACCATCCACTTCTCTGTCTAGACAATCCTTGTGCATCCTTGGAGGCCCAGCTGAGAGCTATGTCCTCCATTGAGGCTTTCACCCATTAGAATGTGAACCCCTTAAAATTATAGGAAACGTCCTATGCATTTGAATATCCCAGCACAAAGTCCAGTCCTCTTACCTTATAAATGATTGGATGGATGGACAGGTGGATGCAAAATAATCTTTTCAAGTCCCAATATGTATATGGCACTGATGGACAAAGCAAGTGTAACACATGTCTCTGAATCTCTTTGTCAACATTCCTGGTTACTTTCTGCACCTTGTTTCTACCTTGTTTTGTTTTCTGTTTAGCTTTTCCAAGGTGAAATGTTAGGGGTCGATTAAAAAGGACCAGCATCCCCCATCACTATGAAGATATTCATCAGTATCCCACGTATCTCTGTGATTTGCTCTCAGATGTTGTTGGTGTCTTTTGGACCTACTTTTAGGAGCCACTTTCTCTTCTACACTCCATTTCAGCCTCTTCTTCCTCCCCCTGATTCTAGCCTACTTTTATTCCTTTTGATCTTTGCGCTGTCTTGACTCATTATCATGGAAACCATCAAGATGTCTGTCCAGATAACGTTAAAAAGAATTCTAGGCAAACAGCAGATCTCTGGGAGGGCAAGAAACTGGGACTTCTGCTTAGAATTTTCAGCTTTCAATCCTGGGCATCCTTCTGTGTTCCTGCCTGGGGACTGGGAGGGGGGGTCAAACTTCACTTCCTTGCCATCCAAGGACATGGAACCGGAAAATACCAACAGCTGTGAAGGCTTCACCCTTAGTTAGGAATTAAAGGATATAAACGGCTGTTGGTCTCTGCCATTGAGACACTAAGAAAGGCTTTCATCTGTTGCTAGATTCAAGTTTAACAAGGAGACCCATGCCGGTCCAGAAGTCCAGCTTTCCCTGATGGGAGAATACCAAACAGATGTGGCTCCCTTGTAAACCACAGTCTCCTCCACTTTCCCTTGAACGCCTAGGGCTTCCTTTGTAAGGAACTCAACAGATGTTTCTGGGAAGTCCTTAAATCAGCGCAAACTTCAGAAGCAAGGGCTATCTCCTGGATTCTCTCTGTAACCACCTTCAGAGATAACAGCCAAGACAGAAAAACAGAAAACCACAGACATTTAAAAAAAAAAATTCTGTTGCTGTCTAATTAGAATAAGTTCTGTGTTCTTGCCTCTGGCTTCCCTGTTTTTCTGTTATATAATAAAGTAATATTTTAGTTCTGAAACTCAGGGAAAAAATTGGGTAGAAAGCTTAGAACTTCTCTGACTCATTTGTTTTTCAAAAGTCTTTGGAAAGGAGGAATAAGAAC